TTAAGGTGGGGCAATTCGGCTTTATGGTATTTTAGTGTATTTTATTCATGAAGGTCTGATATTTGAGTTATGAATAAATGTAGGTATTGATGAGTTTGAATACATTCTAGGCATTTCAACACGTTTACTTACACTGCGTTAGAATCATGATTTGAATATTTTTTCGGTTTTAAATACTAAGAATATAAAGAAAGTAAAGCTATTATTGTATAAATTATCCTTACAAATCTTAAATTTTTGAAAAATTATGTTTTTTCTATTTATGTTGACTAAAAATTCTAAGCAATTCGCGAAAAACCGCGTCTACTGTCAGCAGAAATATGCCTAACGTTGTCGCCTAAAAAATCTGCAAACGATTGCCAAATAATTTAAAAGTAACTTGTTGAAAACGCAGTCCAAATCATTATATTGTATCTTTATATCGATGGTTGATTTTGTTGGGGCTGTTTGGAAAAATATACATTTATAATAATAATTAGAGATTTTAATATGTCACATGATTATTAAAAAAACAGAATATTATTTTATTATATGGACTTTTTTGTTGGTTTTTTTTGTTACGACTCCCATATTTCCATAACAGCCCCAGCATAAAGAGCCCCATATAGCAAAAATATATAAAAAGTGTCTATACGTGTTACTAACAACGAGTGAGTATCGATGGTATATGTACATATATAAAAGACGTATTATATGTATATTAAGAGGTTAGATGTTTGAGATAAAATATTTTTATTCTGAACTGTATCTATTGTATATAATGAAATGGAGCTATTGATGTATCCCATAATTAGTGATCTAATAAAATTCTACGAAAACTACACCTTGTTTTAATTATGTGTCAACAATTTTTCTTGAATCTTTACATATTATAATAAAATTCTAAGTCGAATCTGTACATTTTTTTTGTTTGGAAAATCTTATTGAAATAGGCAATAAAACTATAATGACTGGATGGATATTTTACAATAGACTCATCAACTATCTAACTTGTCAACTATATATTTTGTGGAAAACATTCCGTTTCGGATTTTTTTAATTCAAAATTATACTTCTGAATCTGGACTTTTTATCCAGGTTTTTGGATCATGTTCGTCTACGTAAATCTAATATTTGTTTTGATCTCTTTAAATATATTTTTTCATAAGGCTTTGACACCACTTCATCTCTTTATTGAAAGATCAATAAATATATGTTTACGTGATAGTTTTCGGTCACACAAAAGTATCAGTATAATAATAAAGACAAAGAAAATCTTTGTCAGTGTGTCAGTGGCTCTGTTTGGTTCGAATAAGTAAACGTTCGATATCTTTTAAAAGCCAACGGCTTATCATTGCTTTTACATATTAGTATAATCTTACAATGCAGTTTTTGTATTTTTTCTTAGAAATCCTTCCATTCCGTAGGAACGTCTTCACTGCCAACAAACACTTCATTACCAGTATTACCATGAATTTTATTTAGTAACTACCATTGCCCGTGGCTCCGCCCGCGTTCAGGTGACCAAATACCAAATTCTTAGGTTTTACATATTAGTATACTCTTACAATGCAGTTTTTGTATTTTTTCTTAGAAATGAGATATTTTCCCGCGTTAAAAAGTATCCTATATGTTGATCCTGATAACCAGCTATCATTATACCAGATTTCATCAAAATCTCTCCAGTAGTTTTCTCCTGATGCGGTTACTGATAGACAGACAGACAGACAGACAAAAAATCTAAAAACTATAGATTCGGCCTCTGTTTAGATAATAATGTCTATTTCAATTAGATTTTCCAAAAAATATTTAATGTACAGATTCGACTTAGTTACAATTTTATTATATGTATAGATATATTATACTTAATATTATTTATTGATGAGTACTTATACTAGTTTATTAGGTGCTGTTATTACATTACATTTGCTTATGGGTTAGTACTTCTATCCATACTTAATATTATAAAGTGGTACGGTTTGTGAGTTTGTGACGTTGTGATGGGTAATCTCAGGATCTACTAAACCGAATTAGATGAAATTTGGTAAGAAGATAGTTTGAGATCCGGGAAAGGACATAGGATACTTTTTATCCCAGAAATCATCTCTTAAGGGAGTGAAAATGGGGATGAAAGTTTGTATGGGGAATCAAGCTAAGTATGTAATATAGTAGGTACGTTTTATGTTCAAATAATTACCAGTAGGAGAGTTAAATTATCTTATTAAAATGCAACGAGTTTTCGATATAACAGACTAGATCTAGATTTGGTTAAAAAAATATTTCAAATAATATCGGAAAGTACAATTTCTCATCTTTTTTTTTATAGTTAGATTTAAAGGTGTAATTTATATTCAAATACCTATATCTATCATAATCTAACTTCATGACAAATCTTATTTAAGTTTATAAACTAGAGAGAAAATTTTAGGAGTTTCATTTGATGAAAATAAAACTTAGTGTCGTCGAAAAGATTGCGACATTAGCGAACAAATTACTTTTATAAATATACTGGCAACACCCGCGGCTGCGCCCGCATTCAATTTACAAAAAAAAAACTCTTTGGCTTTATGTTATACAGCTACAACACATAACATTGTCCATACAAAAATACTAAAATCGCTATTAAAAATGGGGGTGGGGGTAGGAGAGCGGAAAATATTTTACGACCTATTCTCATAGGTACCTACCAAATATACAAACAAATATTATCAATATCGGTCGAGCCGTTTCAAAGGCGTGCAACCACAAACACCGTGACACGAGATTTTTATATATCAGATAAAAAATGTTAAAAAATAGCAACACCGGAACGTGGCGAGCATCATTACGTTTTTCGAAAAGGGGTTACTTGCTTCAGACATGCCTTCATGATGTTTTTCCCCACCGTATAAGCCTTATGAAAAGAATATCATGTTGAAAAGTGTGATCAAAATAGGTAGGTACATGAAAATCTCTAGACCCGGTTTCAACCCCTTCCACTTGGTTTTCCAATCAAAACTACACTATCAAAGTTAATATTATAATATACTAGCGACTCACCCTCGCAGCGCTCGGGTTCGTCCTTAGTGAAAATTTAGGTTTGTATGTATTTTTTAATGCCGAATCATAACATTTTTTTTGGGGTGGACCACCCTTATCACTTAGGGGGATGAAAAATAGATGTTGGCCGATTCTCATAGATACCGGATAAGCACAAAAAATTTCATCAAAATCGATCAAGCCGTTTCGGAGGAGTATGGCAACGAAAACTGTGTCACGAGAATTTTATATATTAGATTATATAACCATGTTAATTTTTAGTGATCCGTAGGTCCAAATATAGGGTAAGTTGTTTTGCTGAGAGGTTATTGAGACGTTATGTCTGATCCTTTTTGAATCGAAACAGAAATGTAGAAATATAATAAAGATTACTTATACAATTATAAAAACTGACAATGAGACTTTCATCTTAGCGAAGTTAAATGAATATTTATGTAATTTTGATATGTTGGAATTAGCAATATTTTTCAAATATTTTGATCGGCTGCCCTAGACGCGTGACCTTATACAGAGGACTTACAGTGGTTACACTATGGTGGAGGTACTCAAGGTTTGCAAGGTATCTACTACCATCCCTTAGATATGTTAATCTGCCGCGCTTGAATAAATCCCAAAATCCCCTCCCGAGCTCCCCTGATATCAAGTATATTTTAATTTAAATTATTTAATTCGTTTTGATCTATACTTTAACAATTGTACCTACAAGCATTTGTAACACACCTTAATTTTTTAGTTTTTTAAAACCATATAAAATACTAAATTAAACCAAATATTTGAGCAGGAACTAAGAGGAGTAAAATAAATTTTATTTACAGTTATAACTTATTTATTTAAATACAATATCAATATTATTAACTTCAAGTTAATACCTTGTATGAATAACACATTTCGATTCCTAAGAATCTAACATAAGCTAATACCGTACAGAATAAAGATACTTGTACTTAGTTATCTTTATATATGATTTCTTGATAACTACTCTTCTTATTCATGTAATATGTTTATTTATATTGAATTTATATATATATTAACATAATTAATATAAAAAAGGTTCTGTTTTCCTTCTTAGGTAAAATATATTTTATCAAAATCGGTTGAGACTTGAGCCCGTCTAATTGTGAAAATCAGGCTTACAGATATTTTGTATTTCGCACAAATAATCCTACAATTATAAGGCTTAAGTGTTTTTAATATTTGAGTTGTGGATTTCTTCAACTCTAACTGTTATAGTAAAACTCTATTGGAATAAATTATATTCTAAACTAGCATTGCCCGCGGCTCCGCCCGCGTTCAGATTACCAAAAACCAAATTCTTAGGTTTTACATATTAGTATACTCTTTCTTACGTTGCAGTTTTTGTATTTTTTTTCAGAAATGAGATTTTTCCTGCAGTAAAAAATATCCTATATGTTGACCCGGATAACCATCTATCACCATACCCATCAAAATCCCTCCAGTGGTTTTTCTGTGATGTGGTAACAGACAGACAGACAAAAATTCTAAAAACTATAGATTCGGCCTCTGTATCGATAATAATGTTTATTTCGATAAGATTTTCCAAAAAAATATTTAGTGTACAGATTCGGCTTCGTTACAATTTTATTATATGTATAGATAGATATCGTATGCTAAAATAATGTATTTATTTTTACAATATTGAAATATATTTTCTTCATGATATATGAAAGTATAATATCTTAGAGAGCCATCTCCATTTTTCCTTATAAGCTTAAACGAAAAAGAAATGTACTCATTAAGACAATTTTGAACACCTAAATATGTAAATTTTTCAAAGAGAACTTCAAATAGAGGATAAAGTTATAAAAATTTCATAACAAATTATTACAAGCTATTATTTTCCTACAAAAGTGAACAGGTCTGCTATTTTAAGAGTAATTTGAACATTTTATGCAAAGCCCCAGCTCTGTAGTTGATATATAATATAAATCCTAAACCTATATACATTTACGTTTACCAACTTAAAGATTTGGTATCCGTCTCGCATACAACGCGTTGGGCATAATTTTGTTATCATCTTGGTACTTAGCTAATAACAAAGGCCAGCTCTTATCACTATCTTGATTATTCGGATTCGCTTCAATTCTTTGACGTATCTTAGCCGCCTTCGCGATCACTTCGGCGTTGAGCATGTTCTCTAAGTACCGAAGTTTGTGGGGTAGGACGATTTTGGAAATCTGTAAAATGTCAGTTATATTTTATTAAAAATATAAATAACTAATTGCCCTCATTTCGCTCGAGTTCGCCTCTAGAAAAACAAAAACAAATCTATCCCACGGGAACTGTATATTTTTCGGGAATAAAAAGTCTATGTACTCTGTGCCAAATTTCATCCAGATCCATTCAGCCTTTCTGGCGTAATTGTGTAACAAACATCGATCGAAACGTCTAATCTTTCATATTTATAATATTAGTAAGATTTATATTTAGCCATAACAAATAAAGCCTATTTGAAATAAAGATGATATAATAGTAATATGTGACTACATGATACTAGTGGCGCCTGCGTTTTTTTACTGACCAAGCAGCTTGTGCAACCCACCATCCATCTATTATTTTTTAAAACAAATAACGAGTTATAGGAATCAATAGTAACAACTAAGCATATCAAATGATGTAATTTGTTAAGCATTAAGCATAATTTCTAAAATTAATAATGTGAAGCCCGCTAACCCGCACTAGGCCAGCGTGGTGGACTATGGCATGATCCCCCTCGTACTGTAGGGAGTCCCGTACCCAGCAGTGGGACGTTAAAAAGGGCTAAATACTATAATGTAATACTAAAATTTCTTCCACCACTAGAAAGCTTTTACACTAAAACCCATGATTTATTCAGCTATTATTATGGACATGGCACGTGAGCTGGGCAGAAAATTAGTCACTCCAAGTCGAAGCGGCTGGCTGGATTTAGATGGCATTTAGTACGCAGATAGGCTATATCCTAGAATTTCTCACAAGCTACCCGTTAGGCACTAGGGCAAGTTCCTAGTCTATACTTATTATAAAAATAAGTCCCCCGGCCGCGTCTTTCTGTCCTCCTGTCTGTCCTCCTGTCTGTCTGTACGCGATAAACTCGAAAACTACTGAACGGATTTTTATACGGTTTTCAACAATAGAAAGAGTAATTCTTGAGGAAGGTTTAGGTATATAATTTATTATGCTTTTATGTAAATTAGCTGAAATACGGTGACAAATGTTGAAGAGGTCGCAAAAAATCTCGCCAAATGGGAACTTTCCACGCGAACGCCGCGTAAACTAGCAAAGATACAGTTAAGTAATGTACTAGAGAATTCAAAATCTATAAAAATGCTACAAAAAAGTCCGCGATAGCATATCTCTATCTCTTACGGTTGACTTACAATAACCACTTTTATGTTAACATTTTTAATTAAAAACATTACGTTATTTTCAAAGTTATTTTTTTTAGTTCGGTATTAATCCTTATCCAAATGAATATTTTAGTTAGCTTAGTCATTTAATGCAGATTAAAATTGCTCTTTACACTAAATCAATCAGATGAATAGTTTTTGAGATATCGTTGTTAGAAGTAATTAGTAGCGAAACATTTTTAATGCTTGGCGAGCATTGAGATGCCTACGGCGAGTCCATCCCCTCTGCCCCGCATCGCTCGACCGCCTGCTCAAGCTATATAAACCGGGCGATGTAGCGCGCGATCCTAGGATACTTTTTACCGCGGGAAAATATCTTATTTCTGAGGAAAAATACAAAAACTGCAATGTAAGAGTATACTAATATGTAACACCTAAGAATTTAGTTTTTGGTCATCTGAACGCGGGCGGAGCCGCGGGCAATGCTAGTATGTATATAAAATTATTTTATACCACTACCTGACCAGATGTGGTATACTCAAAATTACGCTTTTGCTATTTAACCGCAGTAAAATTTGCATCTCTTTTGTAATCATTTGGGGCAACCGCGTCAATTTTAAATATCAATCGTTTATTGAGGTTCATGTAAATACAACGCAATCACTTAAACACGGTTGACTTGCGGCCAATCGCGCTTTTATTGGAAAACTGATTGTGGGCTTGAATCGGCTATCGCTGTATAAAAAGCCTATGTAACATAATTAGGTATGTTCTAAGACTTAATAAATTAAAAATCAGCAGCAACCCTATATTGAAAATAATAAAAAATGTATATATTTTACAACTGTAATAGGTTTTTGTGCCTAAATTCGATATTTTTTCTAGCACCTATTGAAGAATACAACTATCCACATCATTGGATTGTACAAAATTACAAACTTGCATACCTAGCAATATTAGTCATAAATAGTCAAAAAGTTCCAACTAAAGAGTTTGTCTCATTTTTGACTATTAGAAAACCATCTTTAAAATCAACTCACAATTGATTGTTCCACTATATTTTGTTATTTACTCGAGAAAGGCTTTCCGAAAATTAATAAAAACGATTTATAGGCCGTAACTTGGCAACATATTTCCCTCACATTCTTGAACTAAGGTAAATCAAGCGAAAAGTAAACAAATAAGGTCATTACAAAACTCTAACAACGGAACGAATATTCTGAACTTGACGTAAGTAATAAATCCTAGCAAGTAGTTAATTAGCTTTTGGAACGCTTCGTAGAACGTTTAAACATTTTGTACCAAAACAACATGATAATTATATTTTTGGGTACTTTATATTATTAAAAGTGAAAGGAAAATTTTTGGATTTTCTCACTCAGCATCACTCATAGACTATGTAACTTTTTTAGCTGGGTATAGGCCTCTCTCATATTAATGACTAGTATTGCCCGCGGCTCCGCCCGCGTTCAGATGACCAAAAACCAATTTCTTAAGTTTTACATATTAGTATACTCTTACAATGCAGTTTTTGTATTTTTTCTCAGAAATGAGATATTTTTCTGCGGTAAAAAGTATCCTATATGTTGACCCGGATAACCAGCTATTATCATACCAAATTTCACCAAAATCCTTCCAGTGGTTTTTCCGTGATACGGTCACAGACAGACAGACAGTATGTGTCAATAATTATGTCTATTTCAATAAGATTTTTGAAAAAGTATTTAATGTATAGATTTTGATTTCAGATGATTAAATTACAATTTTATTATATGTATAGAAGGAAAGTAAAAGTCTGACTGGAGAACGACATCAGAAGAAGCGATAAAAGATAATATGCAGATTGCAAATATTATTGCTTAGCACTATACCTATTATGAGAAATTATTTACGTATAACAATTCTCAAGCTCGTAAGTACGACCTAATTCCACAGTACCCCATCAAGACTAATAACTCGACAATTCCTTGATATAATGGAATAATAAGTAGCCTATTTCGTCACACTCCGGCTCTTGAACTACGCCTAGATAAGTTTCGTCGTAGATTCACACTAAACAATTAACAAATAAACAAAATAACAAACACGTGTAGTTTTTAGTTGCTCCCTTCCTAAACAAGATTCGTTTAAACAAATAAAAAAAATCTCATTAATTTCATATGTTGTAAAGTAAATGTAGCTTATACTAGCGACTCATCCTCGCTCCGCTCGGGTTTGTCCCTACATTTTCACGTTTAGTATAGATTTCTCAGAGATGAGATATTTCCCGCAGTAAAAATTATCCTATATGTTGACCCGGATAACCAGCCATAATTATACCATAAATTTCATCAAAATTTGTCCAGTAGTTTTCTTGTGATGCGTTCTCAGACGAACTGACAGACAAACAAAAATTCTAGAAACTATAGATTCAGCCTCTGTATCGATGATAATGACTAATTCAATAAGATTTTCCGATAAATATTTAATGTACCTATAGATTCGACTTAGAATTTCATTATTTGTATAGATGAAGTCAAAAATTAAATTTGATACTTACAACAGTAGTAGTCAAGCAACTTATTAAAAGTAAGACGGCCCAGACCCTCGCCATGATGTAGTCGAAGTAATGTTTAAATAACCCAAAGCTCTAAGAAAAGTGTTGTTTAATAACAGTAAGATGGAAAACGTGACCAAGTTTCGATTTGAACAGTAAAATCCTTTCACACTGAACTGTTAACTTTTATAATTAAATATTCTTACATTTCCATACTAATGTTTACTTTTACATTTATAGACTGTAAAAGTATCTTTATGTCTGTCTGTATGTTTTACGTTTATTTTCACGTTTACACCGCTGAATATGGTTTCGATGATATTTGGCAAGAAAATAGATATTACGGGGTCCCGCTGGATAATGATGCCATCTGCAAGCAGAATTCGGTCACAGCGACTGCATTGAAATGAAATGAATCTTTGTTCAAATAGACTTATTACAAGCGCTTTTGAATCATCAATTTAGAACTTCAGTACTCAGTCCGTAAGGAAGCTACCATCGGCTCGGAAAACAGTTCTGCTGAACCGGCGAGAAACTCAACAGTTGCTCTTTTAAATATCGAAGTTACATTAATAAACATAATATTACAGATAGCCCGCATATGATTCCACACATTTCCATCAACAAGAAACTCTTGAACAGTGTAATACGCTTTACTCAATAAAAGATTCTTAATTTTGTCTTTAATAATCTTATCTTTTTTTGAAAAGGTAAGTAAATCTAGTAGAGTTTGTGGAATCTTGTTAATTATATGCGTATACTCAGGCCCATTCCATGGCTTTCTTGGGTAGTTGTCGAGAGCTTCGTTGTGCTGCTAGCATATCCAACTTTGGCGGAAAAGCTCCGAGCGCGTAGCGGACATGTCAAAACACCATTGATGACATTGTAAGTTATAGCTTTAGGTGGTTTGGTCTAGCTTTAAGGTCGATCTAATTGCGAGCTTCTTTTCTCTCCCATCCTGCTTACCATTAAAGGCGATGGGCAAAAATTAGTGGATAATATTATTATAATGCTAATCATAAGGTAGAGGTAGCCCAGTGGTAACGCGCTCGCTTGGGAAACCGACTGAAGCGGGTTCAAATCCCGGGTCTCGTGTCTCTGATATTTCCATGTGCAAATCATTTCTAACATGATTAGCACTTGTCTTACCAAGAAGGAAACATCGTGAGGAAACCTGCATGTCTGAGAGAACTTAACAAGTTTTCGAAAGACATGTGAAGTCCGCCAACCCGCACTTGTTCAGCGTGGACGCCGCGTAGTGTGGTGGACTATGGGCTGGTGACCTTCGAATTGAAGGGAGACTCATGCCCAGCAGTGGGACATTGAAAAGGTCTGAATACAGACATATCGGCATACATACCTACATACAAACTGATTGATATTTTATCTTGTTTTTGGTACATATATTGATTTTTTTTATCTTGTTTTTTATACATAATGACAAGTCAAACAGTTATTGAGAAAAATAGATATACATAGCCCTTTCTGAATAACACACAATTATTTTGTTATTAGCCATCTTTTGTCTACATAAAGTGAACAATGATCATTATGCAGTTTGAGTATAATATCCAGATCTATTGTTGATGCTAGAATAATTATTTGATTGATTATAGGTAATATAGAAATCACACTAATATCATAAACGAGTAATATGTATGTTTGTCAGTCCTTCACGCTGTAACAAAATCGAGGGAATCACAATATATATGTCATAGCTTATGCCCTAAAATTACACAACAATTTCCTTTTGTCCACATATTATGTTATACCTAAATATTTCTAGTAACTGTGGGTAAAAATAATTAATGAATTTGAATTATTACAATAACAATTATAATACATATAATAAACGTTTTAACGTTTAGTATTGATTTTTCAGAGATGAGATATTTTCCCGCAGTAAAAAGTATCCTATATGTTGACCCGGACAACCAGCTATCATCATACCAAATTTCATCAAAATCTGTTCTGTGGTTTTCGCGTGATGCGTTCAGATTTTATCGCACGGAAAGTATTGACGCACGATTATTCAAAATGCTGTGCAGTGTGACGATAGCTTTAGCTTGAAATGGCATAACATCAACAACGTCCACTTGTTATGCATTAAGATATCAACTAACGATATAAGGTTTTGATAATTTGCGTGTAGTTCGGAAAGTTCGTATGCGATTTCCATAGTTTGATTCATGAAATAATTTTTATTTTTCTTAATTGGGATTCAAAAATGTCGAACAATACGAGTAGTAAGCTAAAATAGAAACGAAATTTATTTACTAAAAAATAATTCTAAGTTATAGGTATTCTTATATATGTTACAGTCAAAACTATTTTTTAGTCAAAACTGCTTTTGACTAAAGAGGTTGGTCAAAAGTAGTTTTGACTGCTTTCCTTGGTAAATAGCAGTTTTTTACTGTGCCCAGGGGCGGTGCTAAGACTGAATCCGGTACTACTGATATCGGTAAAAACTCTTGAAAAGTAAGGATAATGTAGCTTGAAGGTTACTCGGAAGAACTTTTCTTTCTAAGTTAGGTAAGAACATTGAGCACACCGTAAACGAGTAGAACTTTTAGAAAAAAAATGCCTCAGTTAAAACTACTTTTGACCAACCTCCTTAGCCAAAAGTAGTTTTGACTACAAAATAGTTTTGACTGTAACATATATACCTTCTAGGTTATCTGACACTTCTCAGATAAATATGTACGTACATACCTTTTTTAACCGACTTTTTACGATAACTCAAACACACAACAAACAACATGTATATAATATATATAAACAACAAGTATATATTTTATTTTCCAGATTGGTTATCTGTTTAATAGAATAAACTAAAATTGTTTAATACAATGTCGATGTTAAATTGACTGTGAGATTCTAGTGTGATACTCACCTCGTTAGTTCAAGTTATTTATTAGGTACCTATTGGAGTTAATAATCGTAACGGACAAGTCGCTTCACTAACATAATAAAGCACTTAAAACTCTCGCAGTTCCCACACTCAATTTTGAATTTTATTTTCTCCTTCTACCTGATCCTGTGAGAGTAAAGAAAAAGTGAAATCCGACCGAGAAAACTTCATGTTCATATGAATCACCCCGAACATCGACTTGCGAGATCCTTAAGAAGACCTGCTTTGAGAATCCCTAGCTAAAAATTAATATAGTGCTTAACATTTGTTCATTTGACCAAAAAATACGACTGTAATTTTAAAAATTTAGCTCAATAGCGAATCGAATCTCTACTTCGCTTTAACTTCTACAACGAGTATTCATTTTGCCTCATATCTCGTATATTAAACAGGTTGTATTTTCGTTTAATTAGAAATTTTCATTAGCATCACAATGATGAGGGAACTTCATCTGTCACTATATTCATTATTATATCTATTTTTAACGTATAGAGCGACTATTTAGCATTTCTTGTTTTCTGTCTCACTGGTTTTTTTGTTCTCTATCAACTCACTATTATGAGTAAAACGCCATACACTTATTAAAGTACTCAAACGGATACGGAAACGGTTTATATGATAGGAATGTACTAGCCAATAGTAATATATCAACTTATTATTAAGCCTAGGGTTCGCCGAGCGTTCGAACTTCGGCCATTATTATTATAGATTTTTTTTATTTATAAACTTAAAGGTCTTCAATATCTATTAAACTAATACAAAATGTTTTTTTTTTTTAATTATTTTAATATATTTTATATAAAAATATTAGCTTTCTAAACTATATCTCCATATAAACTTTAACTGTGTCAAATTTCACATTTCTCCGTCCGCGTAATTTTCTTAAAAAGGTATACGAAGTTTTTGCTTTACGTATTAATACATAAATTCTCAATTTGACCACAGACTTTAACAATATACAGGAGACTATATATGCGTGTGTGTGTCAATTACACGGCAGTGTGTGTAATGTTTTTTTTATCGATTTAATGTATTTTTATGCATAATTTAAAAAAAAAAATTAGCATTCTGCACTCCTTCTCTTTATAAACTATAAGTGTGGGAAATTTCATACTCCTCTGTTCACGAATTAATATATAGATAATTCTTCTGTACGTCTAACTCCTAAACGGCTGGACCGATTTAGGTGAAATTTTGTGTGTATATTTTAATAGGTTCCTGGCTCGTCTATAGCTACTAAACTAAAAAGACCAGAAAATCCCATTAAAAGAAAATCTCATCAAAAACATTACATGTAAAAAAATGCAAGTCTCGCATCATTTTGAAACACATGTAACAATTATTTTGCAAATAATATTTATGCCAATGGGAATGTGGTTTCGCCAAAAGTTATTAAAGTAGGTCCAGAGAGGAATATTAATGTGATTGTAATTTATGAATTTTCGTTTTCGCCGGATTTCTGGTCGAGTGTAAGAGTGCTTAACGTGGAAGGCTTTATAAAACCTTAATTAAAATAAGTTTTGAACCCCATATTGATAGTGCAGTAGCCATTGAAAGCTCCTTTGATCTGAAAACCAACTGAAGCGGGTTCAAATTCAAGTATTTGACGACACGTTTGGCTCAGTTTGTAGTGATCCTACTTTCTGTACTAGCAGTCGCGGGTTCGAGTCCCGCTTGGGGCATTCATTTGTGTGATGAGCACGAATGTTCATGTATTATAATATGTATGTATTTAAAGTTACATATATTACCATGGAACTAGATGGTGCTGTGTGTTAATGTCTCAACATATTTTTTTTTATTTCAACCCGATGACTTTCATGTGCAAATTCTAGCGAATATTATGAAGTCAAATATCGCGAAGAAAACATATCTGAGAGAACTGAAATAGTTTTCTGAAGACGTGTGAATTCTACCTATCATCATCCAAGGCATTTGGTCAGAGAAAAGTTTCGTACGTATTATATAGAGGCCAGGCCTCTATATAATACTGTACGATATTGTGCACTAGTTTTTTCGTAAACAGGAAGATACAATTTACGTTTAAACATTTATGATGTTGGCTAATATGAGAAATTTAGATTTTCTTTAAATTATAAGCGAGATCCTTATGCTATTCAAATCACTATTTATTTATTAAATAAAT